TTTAAATTAATCATTCTTTAATTAAATTTTTTATTAATATATGTTATAATTATTTTTTAAAATAAAAATAAATAAAAATAAAAATATTAAATAATATCTTTAAAACAATTAAACAATTAAATTTCAATATCACAAGTTAAAAATTAATTCCGGAGTAAAAGTTGAACGAGAGAATAAGCCATTTAAAAAACATATGTTAAAGTAGGGTTAAAGCCAACTGTAGTCCTCATACTTTGTGAAAATGTTCATTACCATCCCTCTAATAAGGAAATGTTCAATGTCATCCTCTACTTTTCTTACACCATAAATGTCATCCCTCTACTATCTTTTTTTTTTCAATGTCATCCTTAATTGGATGCCATCCATTTTGCTGTTAGCTTTGACGGTTAATTGCTTAACGGTCAAATATTCAACTTTTGTTTATGAATTTTTCTAAGAGCAAATATTAATGATATTTTTTTGTAATAAATTTGTATAAAAAAATATAAAAATAAATATTAATTTTAGTGTTATTGTCACGTAATAAATTTAATTAGATAATTGATAAATTAAATATTATTTTTTATTTTTTTAAAACTTTTAACTGATACTCTAAAAACACAAATTAAAATAACCTTTAAAACATAAATTAGAATAACCTTTTGTTTATTAGTCTAACATCTAAACTTGAGCATTTTTCCTTCGTCACTAATTAAAGCAATACAATAGAAAATTATTTGGATTGGACTGACCCTAAGATTTATAGCACAAGTTAACTTTTATTAATTAATTTTTTATCCACTAATAGAATTTTGTTAACTCTTTATTAAAATAAAAAAATATTTATAAGATCAATTATTAAAAATTAAAAATGTAACAATTTAATTCCAAAAGTTTAAAAAATAAAAAATTAATAACTTAAAAATAATTAATAATTGACTTTATCACATATATGAAAACAATATTAGATATCTACAATTAGATCGAGTGATTAACTCAATCTAACTAAAAAAATCTAATTAAGATTAAAAAATATTTTTTGGTTATATTTTTCTGGTCTCTTAAATTTTTTATCTTAATTCAGTTAAGAAATTTTCCTTAATTTTAGTCAAAATTCTTTTTTCAAATTAAGTTAATCGCTTGATTTGATTATAAATATTTAATATTATTTTAGTATACGTGAAAAAGTCATCTATTAAATCTTTTTAGTTTACTAATTTTTATAATTTTTGAATTTTTAAAATTAAATTGTTACATTTTGAATTTTTAACGATTAATCCTATAATTATTTTATTTCAATTTTAATAGAGAATTAACAGATTACATTAATTTAGGTGCTAAAGCCAGAAAGAATAATACAAAACCAAAAAAAATAAAGAAATTGGTCCCACTAGTCTCACTAGGTGGATAAAAAAATTAATAAATAGAGGATTATTCTAATTTGTATTTTAAGGGTTATTTTAATTTGTGTTTTAAAGGTTATTCTAATTTGTGTTTTTAGGGTACCGGTTAAAAGTTTTTAAAAAATAAAAAGTAATATTTAATTCATTAATTATCTAATTAAATTTATTTATATGATAATGACACTAAAATTAATGTTTACTTTTATATTTTTTTATATAAATTTATTACAAAAAAAATATCATTAATATATGCTTTTAAAAAATTCATAAATAAAAGTTGAATATTTGACACAATTAACGATCAAAATTAATAGCAAAATGGATGGCATTCAATTAAAAATGACATTGAACATAAAAAAAGATAACAGAGGGATTGTAATGAACATTTTCACAAAATACGAAAACTACAGTTGACTTTAACCCGTTGAAGAATTAGGATATATAGTGTGTTATTTGATTTTTTAAAGTTTAGATATTTTGTGGCAACTTTTTTCAGTAACACTTTGATATTTACTTTTATGACAGTTAAGTTTCAGTAAATTAAGGGTTGCTCAATTTTATTTTATTTTATTTTATTTTATTTTTTATTTTTTTACTTTTAACTAGTTTAAATTTCCTTAAACTATAAAACCGTGCCAATTAGAAGAGAACAATTTTTACAGAAATTAATGTTTATTAATTAAATTTGTAAAAAAGCTACGTAAAAAAAATTTAAAATAATATTATTTTAATAAAATATTATAAAAAATTAAAATAATTTTATATTTCTGTAAAAATTAGAAAGTTTTAATCTTTTAAATAAAGATTTATTAAAATAATGTAATTATAAGACATTTTTTCACTTAATTTTTTATGGGTAACATCTATAAATATTTTTCCATCTTTACAATCTCAAAAACATTTTTTTCTACTTTATCATTATTCCTAATCTTCCATTAACAACATAATTTAATGAGTTATTTAAGGAGGAGCCATTTTGCATCCCTGTTAAGGCAGCACAATTGAAACTTTTAAACACTAAATAAATTCTCAAAGGAAGATGTGATATTTTAAAGGAAAAAAATTAGTATATACATTTCAATATAATTTTTAATAATTATTTTAATTTAGTTATTCCTAATCTTCCATTAACAACATAATTTAA